ATAACAACAGGCTGCCCATCAAACAGCATGATTTCATGGTGGGATCAAAAACTATAAATAGCTTCCATAAAAGCAACCAGAGAAAAGAGAAATTACTGCCAACACAACACCTAATAAGTTCTAATTGATTAGAATAATTTTGAGCAATTTTTAAGTAAACCACATTAAGTTTAGAAAAGGTTAATAAAGGCTGTATCTCATCCATGGGCAAGTCTTTAGGTCATAGAGTGTATAGTGATATGTTGTATTATAAACAAAACAGAGAAAAGCTTCTCAAGCTTTTTTACAAAAATTTTTAACTGAATTTATTGGGGTGACACTGATTAATAGAATTATATAGGTTTCCGGTGGTAAAATTCTGTAACGCATCATCTGTACACTGCACTGTGGGCTCACCACCCCAAAGCAAGCTATAAGCTGCTTTCTTGAACCTCAGAGGCCCAGCGAATATGAGCTTAATGGTAACATACGTAGTTAGCAGCTACCACAGTCAAGCTGTTAACTGATCTTTAATATTTAATACATCATATACTCTAATAGGTAATGTTCACATATTTCTTTTATCATCATCCTCTGAGCATTCAACAAGATAAAAGCTGAGATGATAAATGGCTTTTCTAAAATTTAAGTGGCAAGGCCAGTATGTGGTCATTCCCCATTGGGACATGGACGTTTGGACTCCACTTTGGTGCTATTTCCTCCGTAGTACGTTGGCCGATCGGACAATGCGACCCCTGGAGACACCTGGGTCTGAGGGTGTTGACAGGGTCACGGCTGTAAAACCTGAAACCCCAGCAGGATGGCTGGGGCACAGGAACGGGAAGATACGCTTTCTCCGCACACCCTTCTCCTGTCTTCTGCATGTGCCACCCATCCGAGAAAACCAGTGTCGTGGATGGCTCTGGCTTAACCACGCGTCGGTCAGTAGCCACAGGCCACGCCCCGTGTCCGATGCCGCCGACAGAAAGATGGGTAAGACCCGTCACCACCTCTCAGGCAGCTCATAATATACTGAAGAAACGGGACCCACAAAGAACCAACAAGGAGGACGTAAAAGGAATAAACAACAAGTGCTACAAAACACAAAGGAAATAGACAGTGACTTATGTCTGCCGAACTACAAGGAGTTTCAAAGGGGAACCTGTGAAACAGACCTGAAGGATGCGTCCTGGGCAGCACGAAAGGAAAACACAACCCTGAGACCCAAGACGCAGCGAGAAAATGCAGGGTAGGACAGCACTCATTGGCTGAAAATGTTCAGAGCCATATAGACCAGGCACTGTACTAGGCACTCCATTTACTGCTCTGAGAGAAAATACAGACACTAAACGAATAGTTACTAACAACGAGGATGAGTATTTTGGTAGGAAAAGACATATAAGATTACAAAGTTATGTTCTCTTAGAGTAGGAAAAAAACTTCTAATGCAGACTGTACACTGACATGGAAACTGCATTTAAAAGTGGTTTTGGCGCCGATTTTGCAATGCTCGGGGGTGTGGCAACTGTGCACTGAAGGGTGGCCCAGGACCTGTGAAAAATGCCTTCCTTCAGGCCCCAGCGACAACATGACGACAGAGGAGAGGAACCACGGTGACCCACGTGTGTTTAAAAGGAAAAATAAAGAAGAGTGAAAAGTACAGTCACTTTTTACAAGCCCCTTAAGCAGAGTCCGGTCCCTGGTCTCCGGCAGCCAGTCTCCACACTGGTGAAACGTCACGCGGGTGAAACGAGGTCCCCGTGACCGGGACGCCGACGCCCCCTCCCGAGGACGGGTGGGAGGCGGGGCAGTGGGATCTGTACACCGTGGGAAACACGTGCAGCGGGCCTCTAGGGTGATGAGCGTTTGTGGTTTTGGTTTGGTTTAAGGTGAGGACATCAGATCTCTGGGAACTCTGCGCGTCCTGGGTGAGACGTAGGAACAACGGCACACACCACGCCCCCCCTGCAACACTGCCGCTGCTCTGTCTCCGCGGGCCCACTGAACTGCGCTCCTCCAGCCGCCCTGCAGCCTGAGGCTCGCCTTCCGAGTACATCTAAGGGCAGTTTTGCTTAACTATGGAGACTTAGCTTCAATTTCATAATAATGAAGAAATCAGTTCAAATCGAGGCTGCGGAGTAAGATGGATGAGGCAAACTGGACGGTGAATACCAACGAGGCCTGTGGAAGGCAGAACCCCATCCCCGCCCCCGCCCCCGGTCGGCGCCCCCCGAACAATCCCCTGCCCTTGAGTGTGAGCAGAAGCCGCCAGCGTGACGGGGTCCTCTCCCACATCAGCTCACCCACCAGCCGACCAGGTTAGTCCGAAGGTCTGGGATGAGCCTGGTGGGCCTGACCCTATCACGTGAGACTTAAAAGAGTGCCTGGGTTCCTCCTGACAGACAGAGACTCCCCCTTGGCTTTGAAGAAGCAAACAACGATGCCTGTGTGGAGAGCACCGTGTGCCAGGGCACAGAGGCCTCAGACCTCCAGCCGTGAGCAACAGAGTTCTGCAGACCTGGGGGCTCAGAGGAGACCACGGCCCCGGTCAAGGCTCTGACCCTCTGCTCACGCCGCTCAGTCCACCATTAACTCGCCCCGGAACACGTGGCCCACGGATGGGCTGATGCATCCCCCCTTGCCAGGCAGCGAAACTGGCACAACTATTGAGTGCGCTGAGTCCCGGGCCTGGCGAGCTCTGAAGCCGACGAGTACCGAGGCCCGCAAGAGAGAAGCGCCTGTCTTGGTGAAAGCACCAAATCTCAGAGCGCGGCCCCCTTGCAGGGCAACACTTTTGCAGGTGTGTGGATCTGGAGTATTGCAGAAAGTCTCACAATCGTGCAGTCAAAATTCACATTCCTTGTATTCCATCTTGCTTATTGCTATTAAGGTTTTTTTCCTGGGGAATCTGTTTCAATTTTGTGGCACTTAATAATGCGATTCTATTCTCCACCAGGACAGACGATCTAGAAGATACTTAGGAATGCATGGGGCATCTGGGGGGGCTTCCGCCATAACGGGGCATTTGGTATGTGAGGGACAGGTTATGAAGTTTCCTGTAACGCATGGGGGGGCTGTGGCACCGCAAAAAAACCTTGACCCAAATGCCAGCAGCGCCCTGTTGAGAAACACTATTGGAGCATAAGCTAAAGCCGACTATATTGAAACCATGTCTTGGTCCAGAAAGCCTCATGAAATAAGAACGTAAAAAGCAGTTGTTCTAATCAATCCAAATTATGGAATACACAGACACAGAATTGCCTCCAGCAGACCCATAACTAATAAAGCTTCAGGAAACCCGGGAGACGTCGGGCAATAGTGCTTTTGCCTCTACAGCTGGGAAAGGCGGTCTGGCCACGGCTGCTGCTCTGGCTGCACCTGCCCTCCCGCCCGCTCACTCCAGCAAAACCGCCTTGCTGCTTCTCACACACAGTGAATACGTTCCTGCCACGGCCCAGAAAGCGTTCCCCCAGCTACCTGCCCGCACAGTCCCCTTCCTCCTTTCAGGCCTCCACTCCGAACGTGGCCACGCCGGCCAGGCCTTCCCTGACCACCCTACTGAACGAGCAGCGTCCAGTGCCCGCCCCAGGTTCCTGGGCTCCGGCACAACCTCTGTGCTTCAGTTCCCCCCTCTGTATGGCGGATTGACAGCTGCACCGCAGAACAGCTGTGAAGGCTACGAGAGAGAGAGAGAGAGAGAGAGAGAGAGAGAGAGAGAGAGAGAGAGAGTGGGGGGGGAGAGAGAGAGAGAGAGAGAGAATGAAATGTGCTCGGAGGGTGTCTGAAACGGACAGGACGTGGAGCACGTAGCTCCAGGGCCCTGGAGGAGGGCGAGGACAGAGGAGGCCGGCAAAGCCTCCGGGAAGAGATGACGCGGGACCTGAGCTCAACTGGGGAGGCAGAGAGAGCAGAAAAGGAGGGCACTCTAACACCTGGGCTGTGGGCAGGAAGGACGGTTTGAGGGGCAAAGGGAAGAAGCCTGGCTGCTTCTGGAAGCTCACGCTGGGGAACGCAGGGCAAGCTGAGGAAGGTGTGGCTGGGGTGGACGCCAACCTGAGGACGCTGGACCTCGGTCAGCAGGAAGTGTGTGTGTGGGGATTCTGAACACAGGACAATGAGGAAAACCCATGTTAGTAGCAGACAAAAGGTCATGGACAACTGGGACGGGTGGCCTGGGAAGAGGACAGCCTTGTGATGGGGCAGCAGACAGGTGACCATTTCAGAAGCGCAGGTGGTAAGTATCTGACTGAGTGTTTCGGGGATTAGAAAAGCAAAGTGCAAGGCATTTCAAGGATGAACAAGCTTTGATGTATATTTACATACCACCCACGGGCCCACCTCGACCGCAGAACAGATCTCTTCCTATTGTCATCACTCCTGTCTGTCTTCTGACACCTCTGAAACCAGGAGCACCTCAAACGCACTAGGTGAACCTTACTGTTTCATCCTGTGTGCCCGGCATCCACGGGGGGGAGGACTTCAGCCAATGCCGCAGCATGCTCAGAGGAAGGACCAAGACAAGAGCACGGCCGGGCATGAGGCCCGAGGATGGGAGAGTGGGCGGGGGCCACTAAAGCACAGAGGATGCTGGGAAAAAAAATCTCCTCCCAGATGCATGAGCTCAGTTTGGGATGCTCTGACTTTGAGATAAAGTGGCAGACAAACAAAAAAAAAAATGAAGGGAGTTGCTGGTAGGTGTCCCCTATATTTGCGGTCTACATCTTCCCTTGTTTTCGAGGGCTAAGAGTGGATGCTAAGCATTTTCTAAATTATTTAGGTTGCGTCTCTCAGGTGTGCCTTAACAATACTGGAATGCCATGTGGATAAAATCAGGCCATGATTACAACCTCTACAAAGGGATCAGTCACGGGCCTCCTTTCAACAGGGCTCATGTAGGACACACACACAGAAAACTAATCACAATTCATAAAACCACTCTTTAGAACACGACGTGGCATTCAGAGCAGGAGTTACACACACATTTAGAAGCCCCTCCCACCAGGAACATGAGGACGGTTTACCTTGTGACAAGGAACCAAGCAATCCGACTGAAGTCTGGAGAGGGCCTCATGTACGTCTTAATGTGCGGCATGGCGTTGCTGCGGCCCGACGTCTCCGCTGACCATTTGCTAGTGACAGGAAAGACACAAATCACTGATAAGAAAGTACCAATTGGTCACAGTCCTCACATTAGAAAAGTGCTTGAAAACCCAAATCCTATAATCTAAAAAAAACGGTGAGTACACAATTCCCTTTGATACGACCCGTGGTATCTTCTTACTACACTCGGCTCAGGGAGCAGAATAACGCGTGTTCACTTCAGAATGCAGGAATGCAGAAAAAAATGTACTGCCACTCACAACAAGGGCCTTCTGGCACATGGTGCGCCCGGCTTCTCTGCTGTGAAAGCACACCAGTATGCAAATGCCATACTCTGTCTGTTGTGCTTTTCCCGGCACGTCTGCACATCGTATCTCCTAGCCGGGCTGTGAGCTCTTAAAAGCTGGGAGTGTGCTCACACCACAGTGCTAAGCAGAGGCTCAGTAAGAGCTTGTTGATAAAACACAATACAAAGTGGGAAACATACAAACAGTATGCATATCGTCACGGGACGCTGAAAAGCAGGGGCATACATCAGAAATACTTGAGTCGAATGCTGACATTTACTTGTATCCTCAGTTTGGTTTCTAGGTCTGCCACGTGGCAGGACTGAGGTGCCATGGGAAGAAATGCCGCCTGTCCCTCCCGGGGCGACCATCCTCACTCACAGGAGGACGGTCCCTGAGAGAACAGATCGTCCGCAAAACCCAATGTCCTTTGTGAGGGACACCCGCCCAAGAGAGCGTCCCAGAAAGCCTCCGGATGACACACGACTGGATTAGACGGAAAGGGAATCAGCCGTTGTTTCCGGCTGTTCGGCAAAATAGGTGGACTTGGAAGTAGGTATGGCGCTGGGATCAGCCCGGAAGTCACAGATGTGCGACCGCTGTGGCCGCAGCACAGAGGACTTCCCTTTCGCCTGTCTGTCCGTTCAGCCACGCAGGCACTGCCCCTGCACCCGGGGAACCGCGTGAGGGTCGACCCTCAGCAGGCCGTGCCGACAGAATGACTACACTTTCCATACTGGAGATATGAACCAAAAGGTACTTATGTAAATCCTAAGCTATCCAACAATGTTCTTTCATTTTATCTTCTTCTTCGTGTGCCAATGTATAAATAGAAATGCCACAGAGATCAATTATACTCGTTGGCATTAAAAACCTATTCCAAAGAAAATGTTCAAAACCTTGTTTTAAATTATTTCTATCACTAACATATGTAGCTAAAATATATAGCTGTATTATGTAAGGTTCTTTTAAAAAATATGACATAAATAACACTCTTATCCCAAAGGAAGCAACGGCAGCATTCTAAACCAATTACTTACTGGAAATAGGAATGGAGCCAACTCTGTTTTTCCGCTGTCTGGATGCTATAGGGAAGAGAGCCCCCAGCTTTTGAAAGAAGAAAAATGAAGTAAATAATCAAATCTATGGAATATAATTTGAGGATCCTTCATTAAGGAGGAAAATCTATAGTAAACAGTGAGAAGCTTAAAGGAAAAAAAAAACCCCGAAACTACTTCCATTATTTCATCTTATACAATAGTTCTTTGAAAGAAAAACGTCTATACTTGCACAAGTGTGTTCTCAGTGGGGCTTCCTTTCTCAGGGATGCATATTAAGTGTATATGTATACTGTCTACAGAAAAAGGTATTCAATCACTTGGCGATGGTGACTTGATATCTGTAACAGCACGGATTTGAACTGTCAGAAGAAAACACGGAGAGAACCCTGGCCCGTCCCGCGGTCCGCACGAAGGCCAGCTGAGGTGCGGAGCGCCCCGCTTTTGCCTGAGACCAGGACACCTGGGCAGAGTGGAGTGAGACCTCCTAGGGGAACCTGGTTCTCCGCCTTCCTTCGCCCGCTACTCTGCTCCTTCCCAACAGACTTCGCGCGAGCTAAACAGAGTCTTACCAGTGGGAAAGAATGGTCACTAAAATAGAATAAAGTGTCAGAAACAGGTAAGTTTTTAAAAAGGAATTCTAAAAGCCATGTTCCTGCAAAGAAAATAAAGATATGGTTCCCAGGGGGAACACAATTAGAGGCCAATTTTTTGGTTCATCTTTGAAAGGAGGGAAGTTCCACTGTACATGCATCAGTCGCTTTCCAAACACGGGATGGAACTTGTCCACAGTGACCTTTGCCCGCAGCGGGCTTTAACTTTCTCCACCTCACCAAAGGTGGCGTGATGCACCTCCTACTCAAATCCCTAAAAACACACTTAGGGTTTCAGGACCAGGTGTGAAGTAGCTTAATTGGAAATGCCATGTTCTTCTCTGTTAAAAAGTATGCTTTGAATGGATCTAGTCTATTAGAAGTGCAGGAGGGAGACCAAAAACAAAGAAAGAAACTAACAAAAAATACCCCGCCATGTCCCTGAGCCTCAGTGAAACAATCTTCACCTTTGTCACCAAAAAGCAACAAATGGGCTGAAACACTGCAAACCCTATGGAGATTTCCCTGGCAGGGTCACACCTGGTTTGACAAGCATTAAGTGGATTAAATCAGCCCAAATTCAGAGCATTCTGCTTCCGGCCATAAGACTTCTTTTTTTCCAGAGACGTACATTGTTTGGGGTTTTGGTCATTACCTCCCAAAGGCACTATTTGGGGAACTGAATTTCAAATAAAAGTCTAGTGCCTAGCCCTGGTATAGGAGAAACAGAGAACCAGGTGATGTCTACAAAATAATCGTGGGCACTCACAGATGAAGCCCTTGAGAGATGAGATGTACCCATTAGGCTATATGAAAGGTTTCATCTCAATGTCAAGCGTCAGTTCTGAACCTTAAATGTATCTGCGTCCAGGATTCGTGTTTAGAAGAAGCACACGGTACCACAGACGCAGACAGGATGCGGAGAGAGGGAGGGAGAGCAGAGTAGGGTGCTAGCAGTGCTCTGAAGAGGCAGCGGCAGGAGAGGCGGCTGGTCTTATTTGGAGGTGTGCTCGGACAGCCAGGCTGCTGGTGGCCAAGGCGAGAACCTCATTTCTTTCTTTCTTTTTTTTTTTTTAAAGATTTTATTTATTTATTTTTTAGAGAGGGAAGGGAGGGAGATAGAGAGAGGAACATCAATGTGCGGTTGCTGGGGGTATGGCCTGCAACCCAGGCATGTACCCTGGCTGGGAGTCGAACCTGGGACACTTTGGTTCCCAGCCCGCGCTCAATCCACTGAGCTGCACCAGCCAGGGCTGAGAACCTCATTTCTATCGGCAGAAATGAGATTCCGACTCAGAGGGTTATTGTAAGGATTGAAAAACACTCACAAATGGCCTCACGTACCATCTCTGGGACACTGCCAGTGAGTGCTCCATGTCACCTAGGTTCATGATTCCTACCCAGTTAAGATAAAAATCGTCTCCCAATTTCTAGCCAATACTTTCACATCCCAAGGAGGAAGGCATTCTCATTGCTTGTTTTTAAAAGTTTACCAGGGCATTTATGAAATAAACCCAAAGATGCAATCCGGATGGTTTTCCCAACAATTACCTGGGTACCCTTCTAAGCTGGTCCTCACATTTTCCACAGAAGGATAGATCTACAAATAAGTAAGAAAAAAACTCAGTAAAACTAGGAAGGTACCATGCTGAAGAAACCGTTTGTTAAAAGGCATGCTGACTAGTTTTTTAAAAAGGAAAATCTCAAAAATACTTAGACTTTGAAAATGTGCTTTAAATTTTAAAAAGTTCCCATTTTATGAAAAAAAAAAAAAATTGAACTTCTGGTAATTAATTTGATGATAAAAAACTACACTTCGATTTGAGTTTTTCCTCTTAAATATCACATTAACACTGAATTGAATGCAAAATTAACTATTAATTCAGAGGTGTCTAAATTATCAATCATGCTCCTAATCCTGCTGGCAATGCGTCATCAAATATTTTTCCCTGGGCTGACAACCTGGGGGGGGGGGGGCGGAAGACCGCAGGCTCGCTGGTGGCGGACAGGCGCGTTGGCGGGACCCACTCGCCCCCAAGCACCACGCGATGAGGGCCCCTCGATTACAAACTGCTGTGTCCACCCCGAGCTACTGAACAAAACCTCTGCACGACAAGGAGGACTGATTCCCAATTCCTCTCCTGGACCAGAGGGCGCGGATAATCAGCCCCCGCCCGAGGAAGGGCACTTACCAAATGGAGCGGAGCGACGCCTTTGCCGGGGGCCCTGGTGTCCCTCCCCAGGGTCGCCAAGGTCTCCTTAAACTCGGAGCACAGCCATTTGGACGCGTCAGCCCCCAGGGAGCCGATGCTGGAGAACTGGCCTACGATGGGCCAGGCCTCCGCGCTGGGTGTGGACGCGGCGTGCTCTCTCAGAAGCTGGGAAGAGGAATAGAGGATGCGGGTCACTCCCTCGCAGGAGCAGAAGCGCCGTCACGACTCAGGACGCAGTTTCCCACCCTCGAAGCCCCCGATTAACAAAGACATGCTGGAAATATTAGTGATCAATTTCATACACAACCGTACATTTTTTCCTTCTTTGGGAAATACTTTTTAACCTCTAAAAATATTTTACTGGAGTAAGTAGACAGGAGAAGTCTTCTTCTCCTCAAATTCTTTGATTTGTACTAAAAGCAAGAACAGATTCAACTGTTTTTAAAAGGTCTATGTGTATTAGCGGGAATGTCAGATAAACCACGAACCTGCCTTGCGAAGTCACATTTTTGCACTGAAACCATGACTGTTTAACACACCTATAGAATACATGGATGGCCGGACCACTGTACATTCTGACTCCTACCAACTGAAAGAAATCTGACGCTTGTGCTCCAGGGAGCTGTTAAAATAGGAGAGCACCTACTTACATATAGATAACACTGCCTTGAACACTAAGGATGACCTGTACTTCCTGCTTTGATACTGGGGAAAAGCTCCAGAAGCAATTTAGAAAAAACATCTGGAAATCTCATCCACTTGGACATTCACACTGAGTATCTGCCCAGAGGCTGGAGAGAGCAAGAAAACTGCACTGCGGTTCCTCTGTTCTGACTGATGTGTTGTTTAGTTCAGTGCGTGTTACTTTCTTTACCACAGCCTAGGCGTCACTGTTTGTAATCACTGCCGCCCAAAAGCCCGGACAACTCTCGATGACAGGCACGGTGGGCGCGGCGCCGTGCAGGGAACAAGGCTGAGCTGACGACTGCGAGACCCCGTGTCTCGTCTGCGCTCGGCCCCCGGTGGGCTGCAGGACCCCGGACAAGACCCTCTGCTCCACTCACAACAATGAAGCAGAACCCTGACTGTCCCCCCGCTGCCCTGGAAGGCAGCTGGGAGGCAGCAGGAGCTCCTGGGTGTGAGCCGTGGCTGGAAGACTCTAAGATGATGCTCAGCGTCCAGTGAGGCCGCACAGCCTGTGCTCTCACCTCTCGGGCTGAGCGGCCTGTTCACAGACGACCGCTGGTGCTGATGGCACACTCGGCCTGTGGCTGCACCCACCGTTTCGTTCAATCCTTACACAATCCTGGGGGTGCAGCACCACTGTTACACCCATTTTACAGATGACAAGAGGGGCAGGTTAGGGAGAAAGCCAAGGTCACGTGACTTGTGCATAGCAGGTCAGGACTGGAGCCCAGGCACCCGCGAGGCTGTGCACTCAGCCAGTCGCTCTGGTCCCTCTAGGTCATGACCTAGCGTTTTTGTTACGCCTCTCCCACCGGTATGAACTGAGAGCTTGGCAGCCAGATCTTGCCTGCTTTTAGTTGTAGCCTCATTTAAAAAAAAAATTAAAAATTTCATTAACAAAGGAGAATTCTTATGTAACATAAATAATTTATGGAAAAAGAGGTAAGGCTTTTACGGAAGACACCTTAGGAATATTACTAAGGTCGGTAAAGTGTTTCCTAACAGGAGATAAAGAAAAGTTAAAAAAATATTTAGTTTCTAGCTAAAGGGCAAGGGAGGGAGAGAGGGAGGGAGCGGCACATCGATGTGAGGGAGAAACATCAACTGGCTGCTCTGGCAGCTCCCTGACCAGGGCTCGAACCCGCAGCCCAGGCACATGCCCTGCCCGGGCATCGAATCAAAGACCTGCTGCTTTACGGGACCACGCTGAACCAGCTGAACCATGTGGGTCAGGGCAGGAGATGAAGAAAACCTCAATGTTCAACTCGCCTGTTGTTGCATTGCGTTAAAGGCTCTCTTTGTTCATTTTCACACCAGCAGCCAATGTCATTTTCGTCATTTTCGTAGTAACAATTCTCTTAAGGGCACTGGCTTAGTGAACAAAACACAGTGTAGCTGGGCTGTAGCCTCTCCTCAGCGCTCTGCTCTGCTCTTTGCTGAATTTGTAGGTTAAAAGTCCTTGATATGCTGATCAAGTGCTACAAAGTGAGAAGTCTCTAGTTATCGTTGTTGTAAGATATGTAACTAAAAGTCCATTTAGGACAGTTCATGCTATAGGAGAGGCATAGCACAACTTTAAGACCACGGAGAACTGTAATTAGACATCTCTCTAGTGCTCACCATCTGCCCAGGGCTGTGCTCGAGACACTGCGATGCGGCCAACACAGCAACCGCCCGTGAAAGAGGAGAGAGCACACACCCAGGGCCGTCCCGCCCTGTGGCGTCTCTGGGCCACACCGGGGGGAGAGTGGTCTGGGGCCACACGTTAAATACACAAACACTAACGAAAACCGATGAGCAAAAAAGTTTTAAGTGAATTTACGGTTTTTGTGTTGGGTCGCCGGTTGGACGCCCCTGCAAATGTTTAAACATGTTCAACGAGTAAAAATTCTGCCACCTTCCTAAGCCGAAAGTGCCCCCAGTCGTCCTTCTGGCCTCCTTGGAAGCGTCCTGGGGTTGATCCCACGAGGTAAACACTGCAAAGACACAACATGTAAGTTACAGAGCGTTAGCGATGTGACTCATGGACCGTCCCCCAGATGAAAACTCATGTAATCCCGAGGTGTTTTAAGAGCCAGCTCATTTTCTTGGGATGCTTCCTCAGAGTAGTAAGTGATACTTCAACTCCTCTTCAAGCACACCGACTGCTGGTGTAAGGTGCCAGGCGAAGGACCCATTCACTCGAAGATTCCTCCGGTAGGAGGCAGAGGACCGGTGCGAGGATGTCCGGGCCTCCACTTTGGCGGCCGAGAACCAGGGGGTATACCGTGACCGCCTTTTGCTTTCATCGCGTCGTGTAAGGGTAGCCACGTGTCACTCAGCCTCTGCCGAGACCCCTGCACCCCAGACCCATGAGGCTCTCAGGCATCGCCTACGGTGAGCACCCCCCAACGTCGAGGATGACACGTACTTGGTCTCAGAGAGGTCATGGTCCTGGATGATGTCTATCCACTCCTGGAGAGGGGCAGCGTTATAAGCCGTCAAGTAGCTGATAAGATCAGCTTTGAAGTGTGTAGCCGATTCTCCAGACGTGTGGGTTCCGTGGGCAATTCGTGGGTACAAAGGGCTCAACCATATTCTGGAACGGGAGAAAACGACTATTAACAGGCCGGCCTGCACCCACCTGGTCACAGCGCCCTCTCTGCACGGAGTCTGCGCTCACCCCACGGAAGAGGTGAATCCCCACTACTACCTCCGCCCGAGAGGCAAAGTGATCCTTACGGAACATGAATCTGATCACAGCACTCAGATGGCTTCCATCGTGTTCAGAATTAGTTTTGAACACCTCACTGTGAACTCAGACCCAGGAAGGTCGGGCCTCTGCCCACCTGTCCCCATCCAACCCCTCCACGCTCCGTCTCACCCATTCACCACCACGCTTCCCTCCTCCTCCTCCTTTCCCTGCCGGCCATGCTGCTTCCTAACGTGCTGACAACAGCTAATCGTTCTACTCTCAGTTGTAGCAAATCCACACCCCCTGCTGTAAGCCCAGCAAGTTCTGGCCTTGACTACATCCGTGTAGCTCTTTAGCCAAGCAGAAAAGAATAAAAGTTACTATGAGAGAAATGTACGTTGTGCAAACCTATTTTCAATAAACAAGCTCGTCATTTCCACGATGTATATGCTAGAGCAGTTTGCGGTATTCTCACCTCCTATACTTTGCTGGGGTCTGGATTGAGGATATACTGCATTTAGTGATGTTAGATGAACACAAACCTCAGTCTTTCAGATAACACAGGAAACAAAATATTAAAGACATCTTTCATTCTATCAATTCTTTTTCCCAAAAGGAAAACAATGCACTTTGCCAGAACTTCTACGTTATACCCACACAGGGAAAACAACCCCATCCAAACCCAGTCCTTCTACAGACTGCTCTGTGGTGGATTGCGTGTGAGTACACTTCCAATCTCTCGTGCTCAGTTTCTCCAAGTGCAAAATCGGGCTACCACCCCTGCTTCACAGGGGCGCACACGAGGTAATGATCGGTGTCCAGATTCAGGAAGCAGTGGGAGCGTATTAGCTGTTACCGCCCCTTCCCTCCTGGGGCTCCTTCTCTCCTCCCCCAACAAGTTCTACCCACTGAGCCGAGGCAGAAGCTGCCGAATTCTGCTTTCCACCTCGCAGCCCTCACAGGAGACCCACAAGATGAGGCCACTAGGGCAGGAAGCTCCCGCAGCCACAAGGATCCTGGCTCTGCCTCTTCCAGTGTTGGGACGTGTCTCTTGCAGCAGGTTGGACCGTCACACTTTCCATTCCCACCCGGAGGAGACCCGCCACCCAGGCAGCAGCACAGCCTGACCCAGACTGGAGCCCAGGCTCTGAACCCGGACCCACTCCCCACGGGCCGTGCCACTGAGGCAAAATCCGCAACCTCTCTGAGCCTCTGCCCGTGCGGACAAGGACCACGTTGGGCTGGATGTGTAAGTGAGGTCTCCCCTCACAATTGCGACTGAGAGCCCACGGTCTGAGGGGGGCTCCCCTGGAGCAGGTGCACCTGCAGACAGGAGTGGCTCTGGCTGAGGAACAGGGCAGACGGCAACTCCCTGCACCGGGATGCTGAGGTGTGAGGCATTTTGACACGCCACAAGATAAGATGAGAAAATGGCCACGGGCCAAATAATTTTAAAAGTGAGCAATTCCAAGGTGGACCAAGCAGCAGCTGAAAAAGACGGCTGGACCACCTGCACGGCAGAGGAGGATGAGCAGCGCCATGGAAGACCAGTTATGAAGATCCCCCGAAACAACGGCCTTTAAATGTTTTTGGAAAGTGACAACCCACGGCCCTGGCCGGGCTGCTCAGCTGCCTGGAGAGTTGTCCCGTACACCAAGGGTTACGGGTTCGATCCCCGGTCCGGGCACGTATGGGATGCAATGTTTCTCTCTCTCCCCCACTTCCTCTAACATCAATAAAAACATAGCCTGGGGTGAGGATTAAAGAAAAAAGTGACGACCACAACATGAAACCGCAAAGTGTCAGAGCGCAGAACGCAGACTAGCCAGGAGATGACAGCGCACCAGTCCAGTGCAGAGAGAGGTTGCGGGGAGATTCCCCACCCTGGGCACGCTCTGAGTTTTAAACCACCCGAAGCTACTACCTCCTAGTCATGACTTTTTTTTGAGAAAGTTAATTTCTTTTCAAATAAAGGGGGGAAAGTAACACCCCAGCCCTCACCCTAGGTTGCTCCCCCCGTGAGGGCCGCCCCCAAGAGGCCTGAGGAAGCAGGCTGCCTGCGAACCCGGGCTCTGGCAGCTCGGGCTCTGGCAGCGGGGGCGGGAGCCGTGGGAGTCCTGGAGCCACTAAGATGGAGGGATCACAACTCGATCAGTTCATTTGTGACATCAATGACTATTTCCCCAAGAAAAGCTGTATTCATCTCACCTCTTTTTTTTTCTGATGGAGCCACATATAAGTCACGAGCCCCCAAACCCAACTTGGCGGCTTAGAAGCCCCCGAAGCAGCAAAGGTGTAGCTAACCCGAAACTCGGTGGGTCAGGAGGTCCTGCGGCTGAGGCTCCTGGAGACAGAGTGACGGTCCCCTTGACCCTGAACCAGTCGGAATCACACTGCATTTCGAGATGCGTATTGTAAGTGGGACACTCAAACGAGAATGTGTTCAAAGAAGAACTAACAGGAAGTGGGGGGTGGGGGAGGGGAGTGCAGAGAGGGACCGGGAGAAGTCAGGCTCAGGGAAGAGACCATCTTTCAAACTGGACAAACCATCTGGAGGGGGAGAGGTAGCTCTGTTTCTCCACGCACTTTTAGGTCAGAGCAGGCCCAGCGGATAGAGGCCGGAAGGCTCTGTATTGTAGCCCAACCCGCGGTGGGAGTGGACTCAGGCAGCTAATACTTTCCATGTTAGGGGTTCTAGCAGAGCTGGGCGAGGGGGCAATGATATGGGGCAAAGTTGGTGCGGGGGAGAGGGGGAAGACGACAGTGGAGAAACCCTGAACCCTAAAAGGCTCCTGGAGGAATGTCTGAGTTCTCTCTAACACGGAAGCTATTAACCAGCACTTAGCCATCTTTAACAGGGGGCAGAGACGTACCAAACAGCTTAAAAGAAGGAAAAGTAAGTTAAAGCTCCTCACAAGGAAGGGCTTACCAGGAGGGAGAACAATGTTACAACCTGATCTGGGAAAGTCCCTAAAAATAAACCCAAACCCCTCCTGAAAAAAGAGAGAAAAAACTAGACCCAACACACGCGCACCAAGGACACAGGGTTAGCAATGCAAGCCAGGCCAGAGCCACCTTCCTGTCAGTCCCGAGACTCGCAGCCCACTGAGTGTGTCAAAGGCCCTGAAAAGACACCGGTGCTGGCTGGTTGTGTGGGAAACCGCACTGGTCAGGGGTGAGGGGACTCTCAGCACGCAGCCACCCCCCAGGCTTTCCTGTGATGCCCACCGGGAAGTGCAAGCGCAGGCGCGAGTGGGCGCAGGGGCGCGTGGGGACCAGAAGGCCCTCTGGCGGGTCTTGCTGGGACCGGGACAAGTTCAGACCTTCCCCCCGGCGTCCTCTCTCCTGCCTCAGGCCCTAGGATGCACTTGGCTGTGAAATGTGTAGAATCCCATTTTGTAAAAACAATGAAGAATACCCATTGAGTGCAGACAGTTATCCATGTTTCCGGGTGGACCAGAGGCAGCTGTGGATGATTAGGCACCAACCTGTTAACACTGGTCACCTCAAGAGACAGAAACTGGGGGGAAATACGAAAAGAATGCTATCATTTTTTCCTGCACGTGTATGTCTTCTGTGCCACACGAGTGGGTTTTATACAATTAAAAAAACCAGAACAACGAGGAGACCAGAGCGAGTGTCCTGGCCCCTGACCCGCCCCAGCACGCCCCGCCCCGCCGAGGGCGAACGGAGGCCACGCACCCCTGCGTCTTCTGGTGCCAGTCCGCGCGGATGAGGTTGGCGGTGTGGACGACGACCCGGAGGCCTTCTTCGTACAGTAGGAGCATCATTTTCCTGTAAAACCGGAGCAGGCGTCAGAAAGCGTTAACATACAGCACTTCCAAAAAATGCAATGCCTTCCTAATGCCAATGTGATAGCGAGAGGAATCCCTCAAACTCCCTTATTATCCAATCTTTCAACGTTTATAATCATCCTTTCTTCCACACGCTGTCAGAGCCGGCTCAGCTGCTCCGGAGAAAACCAACCACCCTCCGAAATGCTCCGAGTGTGCCCCGCCCACGCGGCCAGGCCTGGCGCTCAGGCCCTCCCCCTCCAGGCTGGCCCCCCACCGTCTGCCTATCCAGCACCATCTGTTGCTGTGGGGACAACAGGAACCTTCCTGTCGGGTGTTCTCCAAAGCACGGTCACAACCTCTCACTGTGTCATTCATTGCCAGCATTATAAAAAAGTCGCCCCAGAATAAACGATACACGCGAGCGCCCTGCACCCGTTTCAGTTCGGCACTGGTCCACGACCTCCGCGTGGCCGGACAGGCACGGACGTGTGTGGAAGACTGAAATGCACAGTTACTTCTCACCGGGGGCTGCAGTTGCACCCTGCACAGATTCCACACTCGTCCCCAGCATGCTTGCACTTGAGGTCTGTCTTCCTTTTCCTTCCCCAGTGACTTTTCTTCTTTCTCCATCAGTCCCAGGTGAGTCCTCTCTTCCCTGCGGGGACTTCCCGGGCTTCCAGCCACCAGACGCCATTCAATGGCAGCGAGAGGGGAACAGCACACCCACGGGGGCTTTCGTCTGAAGCATGGGCACCTCAGCTCCGGCCTCCGTCCGGCAGCCGCCGAAGGACGCTACGTCATTCTGCGGCTGAACCCTGAAGGCTCCACCCGCCTCCCCCGCCTTTCACTTCCCCGCGTGGCTGTGAGAATGGAATGCAACTGCACTCTGCGGGAGGTACAGCGCCCTCTCCGGTCCACTCCACCAGTCCTCCAACGCCTTGCTTTCTCCTGTCACGTCCTGTTGGGCGATTTTCGGCTTCCTGGTTGCTTTCTACTTATTTCAGGAATCTGAGCTCTCTGTCCAACCAGAGATTCTCTCCTCAAGGCCAACATGCTACTTAAAATTAACTGACAGAGGCCAGTTCACACGTGATTCTCTCAGATCAGCACCACAGACAGCGTTGGGTTTGGCATAAAAAGATGCGGACAGGGATGTGCGGACAGGGAACGGGACTCCGCTCTGGCCAAGACGGGGATCTGAGCCGCGCTGGCGAGCAGCAAATAACTCGAGGCTGGAGAAATGACAGCCGTTGAGCCTCTTTCCACCCGCGACATGTGTGCCCTGGAATCTGGGCAAATTATGCACACAGTTACCAAATCAGCAGCTGATTATAATTAAAAATAAGCCAGTTAGTTATGAATTCATGATACGAGTTTTACAAATGTTTCCATTAAGGGAGACGCCAGTTACCAGGGGAACCCACTCACTGAATTCAGCGAGCCCCGTGCAGAATGGTGAACGAGCCGGGGGGAGTCGCCTGGATTCTTCAGAGACAGGATGGCTCAGGCCCGTCAGGTCCCAGTTGGAAGTGGGTAAGAAGGGGTGAGACTCGGGGTGCCCCCTTGAAGAACGCTGACCTGCACGACACCTACTGAGCTGCAGGGGCAGTGAGGGGACACCTGCCAAACCTGGAGCCACTCCCGAGAGGGGAGAAGAAAGCCCTGCCTACAGAGCCTTGCGTGCCGGGCGCCGTGCTAGAGCTTCTGCGGGATGCGGCCTTGCTGCGTGCCCACGGTGACCTGGAGCAGGCGCCACCCCCCACTCCGCTGCAGAACCCACGGCTGGGGGAGGCGCCGGTCACAGAACCAGCCAGAGGAAGAGCTTGCTTGCTTGGGTCGGACGTGCCGGGTGGTCCTCTCACTGCACGTGGCCTTGAGGGGATAGACAGGGGGTCACACGTGTCACCGCGCTAGGGTGGGAGTGGGCGAGGCGGGGATGATGTGACCCAGGGGAGACAGGGGACGGCGGGTGGGCGTGGAAAGCAGCGTGTCCCGCCCACCCTGTGGTCAGTCCCCGTGAGACAGGGACCGCGCACAGGGAGCTGCTTTGGCGTCCCTCCTTCCCGCCTACAATTCTCAGGGCCATTGAGCCAACCCTGCTCCTAGCTCTGGGGGAGCTGAAAAGCTTTGGCATTCTACAGCCTTGCCAGAGACAGCCCGGGGCTGCAGGACCTCTCGCCGAAGTATGGACAGAGCACATTCAACGTGCCTCACCGGACTCTGGGCTCCCGGAGGACGGGCCGCACCCGGCCACTTCCAGACGCTCTGCACAGAGCCCACGGCCAAGGCAGGCCTGCTCGAGTGAACAGGGTCTCCAGGCCACTTCCTGCGCCCTGTGGCTGCGCCACTCGGTCACGCTGGGAGGCGGTTTACAGCCGTCACCGTGAGCTGGAAGCGTTTCCTCCTTTTCTAAATCAGATGCTTGTCTTGCCTCTCTGGCTGAAAGCTACAAGAACAAAGTGTTTTGAGGCTTCAAAACACTTTATAACCCCTAGAGCTGTGTCTCAAGAATGTAATAGATATTTAATGAGTAATTCCTACAATATTTTAAAATAAGCAACAGAAAGTAATTTCAAGATACGAACTCTTTGGGTTTAACTTGAAAGGGTGTCTGCTGGGAGGCGGAGGAGGAATGAACTTGCAAAGTGTATGTGTGTTGGGGAGGGCGGGTGGACCAGGGGAAACAATGAGTCTGCTTTAGCAGTGAGCACACAGAAATTCCTGTCCGCAGCACCGGCCCAAGGAAAACTGATACTTGGAGCCTCTGGCCTATAAAATGAAGGACGTCGATTTTTTTTTGAATGGCCTTAAAAAAGGACAGCCCCTCTGGGCTCAGTCGAGCATTCCTGTGTTAGGTCCTGGCTAGGCCCGGCACGCTCACTCCCTCCTGGGTCAGAGCCACAAGTTCTGCTACTCTTTGCTAGCCTGTCAAATACAGGGTGACTGTGCCCATGAACTGCTGGCTGCTGGCACGGACCGCGTGGCCAGCACCCGAACCTGGCACTGGTGGTCTAGGAAAGATACCGAGCTGCCTTATTCACGGCGACTTTGTATCCTCCGATGGAAGTAACATCCTGTGGACTCAGTGCTACCCGAGGAATAATCGCTACTGGAGCTGGGTGCCTGAACTGGAGCTGGGTGCCTGAGTTCACGTTCAACGACCCTCAAAGCTTGTCCTCATTAGCCTGCAGCTCCCAATTGGGAATGGTTGGTAAATGCTGCAACGTCTACTCAACAGCACCTGCGACCAGACACCGCAGGGCTGGTGGGCATCTTTCACAAAACGGCTCGACTCTGTCCACTCTGGTTCCTCTTTTTAAAGCACACTGGCAAAACACAGTTTCAAGTGTGTAACAGGAAAGCTGAATGCACGCCTCCGTGTCACTGTAACAGGAGGAACACCGTGGTCTCGAACACTCCCACTGCCTCCTAGAGTCTCCTTCCTGCCCTGCAGACAGACAGACACCTGAAGGAACACGCCGCAAGCAGCCGGCTCCCCAGCTCCATGACTGGTCTCGAGAAAAGACGAGGCTTTGTCACACTCACGTCACACTTCCTTTCCGGAGAAGTGGGATTTATTAAAAAAAAAAAAAAATTGAAATGCGCTCACGTACATGTATGTGTATATCAGCAAACACAGCCGTATAAAACTAACCTAAAACAGGAGTCCAGTTGAGATTTGGGTACAATGTGTGAAATGGGAAGTAACAGAAAAGTTTTCCCTGTCTTTGTCTGGCGAGGTCTCAGAAAAGTATTCTACAGGAAATTTTTGAGATGTCTTGATCTAGAACAGGCATCAGCCTCTTGAAGTGACAAACTTTTTGTGAAACAATTTTTTTTTCCATCCCAGGAAGGAGCTGACCCTCAATGTCCTGTTCGATGCAACGCGGACTCGCATGGAAATCGCCAGGCTGTCTCTGAGGCGGCGGAGCCCGCAGGCCCGTGGCTAACACACACACAGACAGCCGCCCACAGCCGGGCCGCACACCACACACGGCCGCCGTTCTCCGGTAACGAACGCCCCGGGCAGAGAGCAGAAACCGCACCGGGGGTTCGGGCTTTCCTGCTGAAAGCCGGATCCCAGTCAAGGCCGCTAGAAAACAGCTCCACTTCCTCTAATTCCTCACTGACAGGGTTCCCCCAGCCCCTGCAAGTTCACCACACTGGAGTTCCTCTACGGGCCCCTTGTGAATAGCATGCATCGGTCCACTAAAACCACACCCTCTCCCATTTCATAAAAATTGCTTACGTGTGGTGTGTTCCAAATGCAATGTCCAACTTTGCCTAGGATGAAAAAGAAGTCAAGTCACTTATTGGGGGAAAAAAACCCTCAATAATATCTCTACCCTACTAGAAATTAAATTAGTAAAGTTTCAGTTCAACATTTTCTAACAGCTTTTACTGCCCTCTAGTGGACAAGCCCTTGATCAACAACACAGCTTTTTTAGTACTGTTGAGTGAGGCTCATTAAAAAAAAAATGACTTTTTAAAGTTACTCAGAATGATTCAATACTTTCTGCATTTTAATTATAGTAATTACAAGTTGAAATGCCTAATTTCTTTAGTTGTCAAAAACTAATAAAAACAAATGAGACTATGCAAAGTTTTAAAATAAGTTAGCTGGCTTACACAGAAATTAATAAACGCAGTTTTCAGGGTGTAGTCAAAAAACACTGAATGTAATAGCAGCAGAAAGACTTGTGTTATGATATTAAAACAGAAGTTTTCTTATATTAATAACATAGTAAGTGATGAAAATAAAGAACACATATTATTAAATCCGCGTTTGTGTTACAAAATAATACCTTCACATACAGAGGGGAGCGGGGTGGAGAAGCAAAACATCGTATCTAGCACCCCGTGTAGCAAGACCTTGGTTGAGCAGAATACACCCACGATGTGGGCTATCAAAGGGTTAAAACAGAAATGTCAAAACAACAGGTAGGAACGCACAAGTCCTAGCTTCACGACTTTGCGTGACTCGGGAAAAGTATTTAAATGTCTGTGCTTATTTGTTCTCCTTTTTTCAAACGACGGGGCTCATGGACAGGTGGCCTGGCCCACTGTACTCTGGCACTTGGTGCCTGGGGACAGTCCCAGGCCAGCGTGCATTCGTGCAGTTGGGCCACCAGAGACAGAGAGCAGGGAACCATATTTGATGACTCTAAAGCTATAAAATTAGCACGAAGACTGCCACTCTATAAATTGACATTTAGCTCAGAAAAAGCAGTGGTCAAGAGACTTGGCTTTCAAGTTCAGGTTTGTTATACATTATGTGGTTTTGGCAAGTCTGACCACAAAATCAAGGATAATAATAACTTCAACAGATAATATTTAATGGGTGCTTTCTGGGGCAAACGCACCAAATCCCTTGTACAACAGCTCTGTGAAGAAGGGTATTAGCAATCCACTTTAAAGATGAGGGAATTAAACTCGAAGATGGGCCCAGCAGGACACAGCTGGAACGTGACGGGCTGGGACAGAACCCAGGTAGCCCGAACCTTGACTACCAGCCCCAATCTCGGGTCTCTGCCCCGTATGTACAAAATAAGAGAAACTGTAGCATCCGCCGGCTCCTTGACTGACGTCAAAGCCAGGAATCCATCGTGCACACGAGACATAAGGAATTTCAGTAAGTCAGGATGCGGCCGACCCTCCTGTGCCTCCGATTAGACCTGGGGGCTCCTGAACAGCTCTTTGCAGGAGGTTTGGAAGGCAGCGGCTCGTCCCGCCCTCTAGTGGCGGGTCTGAAGCACGCCACAACGGCTCCTGATCTTTCAGGACAGGTAGTGCGTGAAAACCATTACTTCTATGGATTTAACCACTAGTTTTCAAGATTCCTGTGTTATTTTATTTTCTGACCACCACTCTTAGTCTGATGAGAGCTCTCCTCCTGCAGTTCGGCCTCTTCTGTTTTGGGAAGCAAAGCAAACAACGGGAGCTTAGGCAACTGCTAGGCAAAGGCGTGTCTGAGAAGAAGGTGAGCCGCAGACACTGGGGGAAGGAGTGGGTCCCAACTCTGACTGCCTAAAGCGCAGCGCTGAGACCCGGGGTTCGAGAGGCACGCGGACTAGATGCACCCAGAGGAGGCCCAGAGGCCCAGAGGGGGACCAGAGGCAGGGAATCCGTGGTGCCTCCGATACAACTGGAGGAAGTAAGCCACGTAAGGGAGATGTCGTCAAACACAAGAACCACGGGCGCATGCCAGGAGGAGAACGACGCTCCGAGGCTCCGGAGGGGAAAAATCAGGACGAGTGTGTAGAAGTCACAGGAGGAGGGCTGAGATTCAGTGTAAGTGTCAAGTTGGCTGGGCCATCGTGTCCTGGTGCTTGGTCATGTGCTGCAGTGAAGGTCGAGTTTAGATGAGAGTAAACTCTGAGGGGAATGGACTCTCCTCCCCATGGTAGGCGGGCCTCACCCCGCCCCCCCCACCCCCACCGGTGGAGGCCTCAGGAGCAGGCTGACCCCTTCGAGGAAGAGGACTCCAGCCCCCAGACTGCCCGTGGGCTCCAGCTGCCACACCCACTCTTCCCTGGGTTTCGGACTCGCCAGCGGCCCCTCTAAACCTCCCCCTTGCCCCTGCCCGAGGCTGTTTCCCTGAAGAGCGCTGACTGATGCAGGGACACGAGGGCAACGTGAAGGACAATCTTCCTACCCACAAGGGCTACCGCAGGCAACATTGGAGCCCAAGCTAGACAAATGTGTTGAGGGTGCTGGGGAGGGAACTCCTGAACTAGGCAGGCAGACGGATGAAATGTCTAAATTGCCTTCCCACTCGCAGACCAAGCCTGACCTCGGAGGGCAACAAGGTAAGCTTACCTGGCAGAGGGAAATGTTCTCATAAGGCTTTGCCTCAGCGTGCAGGTGAGCCTTCGCTTCTCGCTTCTCGCCATGCACCAGCAGGATCGGCTTCCTCCTGCAAAGGGGTCAGAGGCACATTTAAAATACGTCCTTCAGAACGCCGGACTCTCGCCTAGTGAGGGGAGGCGAGCTTCCTTCTCAGCCTACACCAGCTCTGGCCTTTGCGGTGCCCGAGAACAGGGCTGACGCAGAGCAGAGATCGGTTCACCCTCACTGACCACTCACCTTTACAGCGGGCCCCTGTGGCCAGATCCCGAAGCTCTGCTGCGACCCAGGGGGGCTGTGACTCAAGAAAGCCCCTGAGTAATGAATTACTTTCTTTTTTTTAAGGTTCTGTTTATTTATTTTTAGAGAGAGAGGAAGGGAGAAGGAGAGGGAGAGAAACACCAATGTGTGTTTGCCTCTCAGGTAGCCCCCACTGGGGACCTGGCCTGCAACCCAGGCATGTGCCCTGACTGGGAACCGAACCAGTGACCCTTTGGTTCAGAGCCTGCACTCAATCCAGTGAGCTACGCCAGCCAGGGCTGCATTATTTTCTTTGGTCCCAAAGGGCACATGGATCTGTGTTAATATGTTTAAAGTCAGATGGATTAAAAGATATAAAATTACTGTTGTGTAGCATGATGCTCTTTTCTTTCCCTTCTTTTGGACCCTTACTAGGTCTGCATTTACCAAGCTCCTACTGCGTGCTAGGCACTGCACTAGGCTCCCAGGATACATGAGTGAATAGGCTCACTTCCACAGCACGAGGCAGACTCATTAAAGGTGGTTGTATTTCAATGAAACAGAGCCCAAGGTATACTAAAAATGCTGTATTCTTGAATTAATGAAGGACAACATACAAATGCTCCTAAGGAACAGACCAGATTAAAAAGGCTTTTAAGGGAACCATGACCTTCTCCAGTTAATTCAAAACAAGATGGTCCTTAGAAATCAATATTCCTTCACAAGTGCTCCCAACAAAACAGAAGCTGGATCTTTCTCCAACAAGTAATCAAGCAAGACGGACAACTACAGCCACTTCTGCATCTACCAATCCCAGAGCTGAGCGGTCCCCAGCACACACTCGGGGGCCCCACGCGACAGAAAAGGTGACAGAAACGCACTTCCGGTACAAACGCCTGGTTGCTTACCTCCCACTCATGTGTTAGTCCAGGTAAAGTAAGAAACACGCCCTCCCGACTTTCTTCTATTTGACGACAAGGAAAACAGCCCAGAGCACAAGGCAGCAGAAGCTCAAGCACCTGTCCCCTAGCAACAATTGGTGTTATCAGGCCATTAGGGCGTTTTTTTAAAAGATGAAACATTACTGACAGAAGCTGAAGTCTGCATTAATTCCTCCAACTTTACTGGTTCCAAAAACTATCACAGAAAGGCCGTTGTGACGGTTCATTTTATGGGTCAACCTGACAGGGCCAGGGGGTGCCCAGACCAAACACCACCTCTGGGTGGCGTGACTGTGGGGGGTTTCCGGACGAGACGAGCATGTGAACGGGTGGGCTCAGCGGCAGGGGTGGCGTCATCTGGCCCACTGACAGCCCGAGTGGGGAGAGAAGCAGAGGCAGAATCTGTTCTCTCCCTGATCCAGCCGACTGCCCACAATAAATCTCTGTGTACAGGGTGGGCAAACGTAGGTTCAGTTGTTTGCATGGGAAACACAAGAGTTAATGACTAATGCCGTGAGAATAAACTGTGTCTCATGTGCTCACGAGTGTTAACCCGCCTTTGCCCCGCCCTGTGCATCTCCCACCGGTTCTGCTCTTCCGCAAAACCCTCCTGCAGGCGGCGTCCGACCGACAACAGGAGGCAGCACAGGCCTCTGTGACCTGAGTTTTCCTCTCTCTCCATTCTGGATGTCACCTGAACTTGGCTTTCAGGTTGTTCCTCCTGATTGTGCTCCTGGTGGCATTGCCAAGGTGCGTCCAGCAACGAGTGGGGGTGGGGCTGGCAGGACCCTCTGACCACAGCTGCCGAGAGCCGGGTACCAGAGCCACTGTGCCAGTTTGCTGGGGCTGCTGCAATGAAGCACCACGAGCGGGGCCTTAACCACCGGAAACTTTTAGTCTCACGGTCCTGGAAGCAGGAAGTCTGAGGTCAGGGGTCAGGAGGCTGGCTCCCTGTGTGGGCCGAGGGAGGGCTCTGCTCAGGCCCCCTCCCAGCGTCTGGACGGTGTGCCCCCTGTGCCTTCGCTCTGTGTGCGTCTGCGTCCCAATCCCCGCCGCCTATGAGGACACGGCAGTGTCAGAGCGGGACCCCCCCCCCCCCACCTCACCTTTGCTGGACCTACTGTCAAATCGGGACACCTTCTGAGGTGCTGGGAGTGGGAACGCCAACAGACCCCTCTTGGGGTGAGACGGTTTGACCCGGAACCGACACGCAGGGAACTGAGGTCTGTGTTTTGGCAACACTTGAAAGGCGGGGCAACTCGAGAAGCAAAGGGATGAACGACAGAGAGCCAGTGCAACTAAGGACGCTTGCGGCCAGGAGGACCCGTGGCAGATGGCTCGTTGCCTCCTGATGCCCGCCCTCTCCTCCTCCCCCGTCCCAACAAGAGCCGGGCCCAGTCCGCACAGCGTGTGCTCGGCTGAGACTTCACTCACTGCCTCTTGCAGAGCCGGTCACCGTCCTGTGACCGCGGGCCGCTCAGTGAAACACAGGCAGGTACTGAGGGGGGCTTCCAGGAAGGCTGCTCGGGGGGACACAGCTGGGTTGTGTCCCTTTCATGCCCCCCGCCCCCCTCATCGGAACACCAGGGATCTGGAGCATCAGGTGTCATCCTGGACCTCAAGGTGTCTCTGAAGACTGAAGTCACACACGGGGATGGTGGGACAGAAGGACAGAGGGGCTCAGTCTCTGAGAGCCATGGCAGTCCCCGACGTTGACCTTGATGTCCACTACCTGGACTTCTTAGGCTGGAGAAATGTTTTTCTCGCTGTTTAAGCCACCATTGCTTTGGGTTTTCTGTCACATGCAGCTAAAACGAACCCTGCGTGTCACCGGTCAGACGTGAGCCCTTGAGTGCCAAGGCCTTGGGAAACCTGAGTGCCACTTCCTCTGCTGTTAACGACGGCACCCACCATCTGATCCCTCTACGCACCAAGGACTGTGAGGACCTGATAATCATGTTCCCCGCATGAGCATTCCTGGACCTCCCCTGCCGTCACGGAGTCTGCCACGTGAATGTGTCAGAAACCAGGGCAGGTGCGTGTCGTCACGGCGTGAGGCTACCCACCTGGTCTGCACTGCCCAACCCCAGGCTGAGGAACTCCAGAAGACAGGCTGAAAATCTACCACCTCCACTACCTGGAGGGGGGAAGGCCCTGGGACACCTTCGTCACCTTCTAGGCTACAGGAGGAACCCCCGGAGAAAGAGTCTCAGAACAGCGCTGGTGTGGCAGGCAGCACGTGGCATGTCAGCCGCGTCAGCACGTGGGTTTACGGGGCCGGAAAGCGGGAGGCAGCGCCCTGGCCTTCACATGAACACTGGACAGGAAGCTGTCTTACTCGGGTTCGAGGTTGTCGTCACCTACTTCTGGGCAGAGCTATGGAGGAAAATGGTAAGATCTGTATAAGGAATGCACGGAATTAGAAGATATAAAAAAAATGTCGTTTTCTCAGTACACCTTCAGGTGTGTTTGACGCGGATGGTTTAGAAGACATTCAGAAGGACGGCTGGCAGCTACCTGAAAAGCACAAATCCCGTGTTTTAAAGCCCCTTACGGCTGGGATGCCGCCTGGCATCACAGGAGACTCACCTGAACTCGGGTGGGTACTGTTTTATGAGCCAGTCCACGTCAAAGCAGTAGTTGAACTGGATGGGGAGAGAGAAAAGGCACTAGGTCACGGGTAATTCAGCCCAGCAGTCTACACGGAGAACTGTGCGGTCATTAATGGAAAGAAACGCTGAAACGCTACATATTTCATTTATAAACCTAGGCAGTTAGGCCACAATACTCAGAAACGAGCCTAAAACACATCTCGGAGAGGACACACGCCCCCAGGACCCGAGTCAATGGAGGAGCCGTGAGAAAGGGGGCTCTGGGGCGGCCGTCTCCGCACGCTTGGGCGGCGCTTGGACTCGCCGTTGCTGAGGCTCTCTGGTTAATTTAAACCAAAGGACTTGCACATTTATCCCCCCACCCCACCAGGTGATTATAAAAGGTTCTGCACCACACTTACCCACGGGGCTCGTCCCCACGCCTGAGTGACCCTTGCCCCTTCTCCTGGACACAGGGACTCAGGGTAGCTAGGGTAACGCAACAAATCCACCCCAAGGTTCTCCTATCTGGGACCAGGACTCTCGGGGCCACACCAAACGGGAGAGGCCCCGAAAGCTTTGCTCTCTTCAGAGAAGGGACCTCCTCTCTGACCCCTGAGTTGACGGCCTGGAGCACTAAGTGATTTATCAAAACGAAGGGACCAGCCCTGTCTGGTGGGAGCAACCAAACGTGCAAGAGGAGTCGTAACTTTTCGCCACCTTTTTTTTTTTTTGGTAGCTGCAGCAAATGTCTTACTTTCCTACATCAGACTTGGCTGGCTTTCACCTCTCTACCCGTAACTCCCTGGGGGGCTGCATCAGAGTCCCATGATATCATTGGTGGGGTATTCCAACCCTCAGGCTGAAATTTCCAAAGTGAAATTAGCCAGTCCCTCTAGCCTCCTCCAGAGCCAGGAGCCTAATGACAGCGGCACCCTCGTTCCGTGCAGGTGGCTGTGGACCCTACGACCGTGGCTGGGGGGTGTGCCATCTCAGGGACCCTGTGCCGGACTGAGACGTGGGTCCCCATCACTCATAGTTCCTTATAGAGTTAATTATTTCTCCCCTCGCATCGGAAAACAACCAACCAACCAAAACAAACAAACACACACTTACCTGTGCTGAAGATACAAGTGTCCCAAACAGAGGCGATAAAATATCTGAGAAGACAAAATATTTAAATCTAATTCATATTTTTGATAAAAATTTTCTAGTAATAATAATCTCAGCAGGCCCCGGCCAGGTGGCTAAGTTGGGCGGCGTGTCGTACCGATGCACCAAGGATGCTGGTTCCAGCTCCAGTCAGGGTACACGCAAGAAGCAATCAATGAACACATAAATAAGTGCAACAACAAATCAATGATTTTTTTCTCTCTCCCCAAAATCAATCAATAAAAAAATAATCACAACTGACTTAATAGTCATTGATGCTCAAAATTTGGCTTAGAAAACAGTGAACTGGAAAATTACTACAGAGTTAAGACTTCGGTGTTCCATAACATTCAAGGGAAAATTTCTCTGTGATGTACTAATACTTACCATATATTCTTTAATACAATAGAATGTAAAATTAAAAGCTACAACTTCAATACTAGATGAGCGGTTAATTTTAGAAGCTGTCAGTAAGGACAATAATGATGCATGTTGTTCTTCCTTCCAGATTTCTTAACTTTTACCTCCCCAGCCCGGGCCTCACTTGGTTCCTGTGAGGGAGAAGGCGGAGGCAGCCACAGGTCCAAGCTCGTGTTTCAAGCATGCTCGGTGATCTCTGAGGGAGTCCCACCTCTCAGCCGTTCCAGCCTGACTTCGGTTAGGCCCAGGCCGGAGAGCTCCTGTTGCATTAGCACCACCACCTCGACAGGAAGGACTGACCATTCACCATCGCCACCCCCGGTCCTAATAGCCGCACCCGTACAGGACCCAGGAGGCGCCAGGCTCCGTTCCTGGCACTTTTTCCACGTGTTCACTCTTACTCCTCCCTGACGGCTTCCGAGGAGAGGCGGGGTCTGCGGCCCCCACTGTCCCTGAGGAGTCTCCCCGTAGGCAGGGGCAGGGGCAGGATCTGAGCCCAGGCTGTCCACTCTACTCCGGCACCTCTGCTCTCAACCACCCGACCGTCCCCCAGGATGAAGAATGGGCTCCTTCATCTCTTTGACCCGCACTCACTGAGCGCCCTCTGTCTTCCAGACACGTGCTCGACGCCTGGGCACAAAGAGTTTACAGTACCCGAAACCCCTCTAAGGGGAGAGCTGTACCACCAGGAGATAAAACTGCAATGCAGTCCCTGATGGTACCCCCCATTCTGCCCCCACCAGTCACACTCTCCCCACCTTTCTAAGTTTCACTCGTCTGTCTTGGCCCATCTGTGGCCCCTCTTTCTCAGCGACACCTTCTGAACAATCCACAAATTCATACTTGGTTGGCCAAAAAGTCAGTTATGTTTTTTCAGTACGATGGCTCTAGTAGTGCTCAGTTGTCGTTCAGTTCATTCGGAACAATTTTGTTGGACTGTATTGTGACAGCTGTCATATCAGCGTAGGTTAAAAAAAAATCCAAACTGGTGAATTTTTGTGCAGTCATTTTAATATTGAAGATGGAAGAAACACAACATTTTCAGCATATTCTGCTTTATTATTTCAAGAAAAGTAAAAACGCAACTGAGACACAGAGACACAAAAAAAGATTTGTGCAGTGTATGGAGAAGGTGTTGTGACTGACACAATGTGTCAGAAGTGGTTTGTGAAGTTTTGTGCTGGAGATTTGTCGAAGAACAATGCTCTATGGTCGGGTAGACCTATTGAAATTGATAGTGATCAAACTGACACATTGATAACGATCAATGTTATACCATGTGGGAGATAGCCAACGTAGTCAACATATCCAAATCAATAGTTATTGCTGAAAATGAAAAATGTGTCTTCTATTTTATGGAAAAAAGGTAGTGGACTTTTTGGCCAACCCAATACATATCATATGTACCCTTCCACATGTTGGAGTGATATACTGAACAGTTAAGATGCTGAATTCCTGGGTTCACATCCCAGCTCTACCATTTACCACCTCTGTGACCTTGGTAGGTTTTTCAAACCTGCCTAAACTGCAGATCCGCTGCCCACCCAAGGAAGTAACCGTAGCATCTCCTAACAGGCTGTTGTGAGAGTTAAAGGGGACACTGTGCACAAGCTCCCTTCTTAACATCCCCCACCCCTTCCTCCGTATCCTGGTGCTAACAGCCAGCCTTCATCATTTCATTACACAGCAAAACCTGGCACAGTTCTCTGTCGATCTCCTGTGTCCAGCGCTGTCAAACAAAACAAAACAAAACGAAAGCACTGAGATCTGGGTCATGTTTCCTGAAAGTACCCACACAAGAGAATTTCAAAAAGAAAAGAAATAACGTGTAGAATCTAACTCCCTTACAGTGTGGAGTTAAATACACCAACATTAGTGTGTCAGAGAAGATATATAATATACAATTATATAATTATATGTAATTAAAACATTATTGATGGCGGGACACAATCCAATCTTGAGAGTGGGCCAGAAAAATGGGTGATCCGGAATTAAGGACAATGTTTATTGTGTGCACCGGCTGTGTTAGCCTACTGTGCTGGCCACTTCCTGCGCTTTCCTCCTTTTCTCTGTGACACCCCGGTTTAAAAGGAGAGCAGGCGGAAATGCAAAGAAGGGCAGGCAGGTCCTTTGGTAATCATACACACAGCGAGGGAGTGGTGAAGCCAGGATTCAAATCCTGCGTCTGGATTCTAGAGCTCCTGCTGTTCCCCCTTAGAGGTTCCCCCTGAAAGGAAAACTGTTTTCTCTCCTCACCCAATCCTTCTGACACCAGGGTCACTGGGCTTTCCCCACATACCGATTCTCCAGTTCTCTGCAGCTGGATATCCGACAGTTTCACTCAATCCTGACACCATCCACCTGGCATTAGCATCGCATCTCACAGGTTCAGAGCTCAGCCCCACCTCAGACGCCCATCACAGGTCCAGACCTCCTGTACTTCTGCCTGTAGCTTCCCATGATCCCCTCCTCAGGTCTGATGATGTGCTAGTCTCACAGAACTCAGGAAAGCACTTTGGATGACCGGTTTACTATAAAAGGGTGCAACTTAGGAAGAGCCAGGCGGAAGAGCCGCATGGGGCACGGGAAAGGGTATAGAGCTTCACGCCCTGTCAGGTGCACCCTCCTGTTACAGAACAGATGGGGGGGCAATTATTGGCCCACCCAGGGACGCCAAAAACTGTTACAGAAAGGAACCCCCCAGGTTCGCTTGTCTGCCACCTTATAGGAAAGACATCTCTCAATGCCAGAGATTTTCGAAAAGGAAAGGAAATGTTTATTTAAAGCTATATAGACTTAAAGTAGTGACCTAATGTCTTCATTAAAATGTCAAAGTCCTTTTGGATACCCACAGACATGTGCTTCCTTCTCCCCCTGCCCTAATTTGGGGTACTGTATCTCAGGAAAAGTAGACGTCCGGGATCCAGGCTCCTGACACCGTCAGCTGTGTCACCGTCCAGGCAGGATCTCCAATTAATCCAAAGCCATGTGGCACCTTCTCATGGCCTGCTGGCAAGAGTTCTTTGTACCCATTTTCCAGGCAAAGTCTCTCCTGCTTCCCAGGCCACATGGCCAAAGGGGGCACCCCAAGGCCACGTGGTCCTCTTCTACCAAAGCTGCAGGGGAGGGGGGTCGCTACTCTGCCAAAAGTGAGTGGCAGTTCTCTGCTAAAGCCACATGGTGGTTCCCCCTACTAAAGCTGTGGGGGTCCCCACTCTTGCAAAGCCGCATGCCTGTCTCTTACATGCCCACAGCTGCGTGGTCCTCACTCCTCTATTGCCACAGCTGCATGTACTCTGCACTGCCATAGCCTCGTGGTCCTCTCCTCAATGGCTGCGGTGTCTGGGCTTTAAATCCCCGTGCCAATCCTCCTCTGTAGCCCTATTTCGACTCCTCCCACAATTGGCTACACTTGCCAGCATTCCCATATCCTTCCAGCTTCACTGGGCTGCCATACTGAGTCGGGGGCAGGTATGGCCCCATGGTGTGGAGCCAATCATCTCCAAGCTCTCACACAGGTGCTGTAACCAGGGGGAGTTGCCTCCCAGTCACATGGGGCGGGGGGGGGGGGGTAGTTACTTTCATCTCCAAGGCTCAAAGCATGGTCACAGCTATTTAACATATCTGTGCAACCAGTTAAAGGTTATAGATATGTTAAATGACCACACCAAAGGTTAGCTGCAAAGCTGTTGCTATGCAAAACAGCCCTCAATGGCCCTGCTCCATGTGTCCCTTCCCCCAACCCACACCTGCGGGGGAAGGGGTGAGGACATCCTAATATTTCCTGGACACCTTGAGTTCTGGACCCCATTCCAAATCCCATTTGGGGGACCCCTCTTAGCTGCACACTGTTTCACTGCCAGCACCTCTACGGGTGCTCCAGCCTGGAGGCTCTCCAGACCCACTCAGCTAGGGTTTTTTAAAGGGGCTTTGTTACACAGGCATTTTGATTAAATCATGGGCCTTTAGTGATTAACTCAACCTCCAGTCCCTCTCCTCTCCCTGGAGGTAGGCGATGAGGCTGCAAGCTCCACCTTTAATCACGTGGTTGGTTTACTGGGCAACCAGCCCCCCATTCTTAGGGGCTTTCCTAAAGTCACCTCATTCACACAAGCCCAGGTGTGGTTGAGAAGGGCTTGTTACGAATAACAAAACATACTCCTTTGACCTTCATTACTTTGGAGCTGTTTCAGGAGCCTAGGACAAAAACCAAATACAGCCAGAGATGAAGCCCAAATATATAACACAGTATCACACAGACGCACCCCAGGGAATAACCAAAGCAACCAAAGACCATCTTCTGGTTCAGAAATGAAACATCTATTTGCATGCCGGCATTTTTTTTTTAGCTTCTTTGCCAAGAACCAAAGCCAGGCTTCCAAGCAGTGGTCCTCAAACTTGACTGGGCGTTAGAATCCCCTAAAGGGCTCCTTACACAGATTGCAGAGCCTTGCTCCCAAAGAACGTGGGTAGGGCCAAGACCCTGCATTTTTAACAAGTCGAAACTGTTAAAAATGAGATGCTGCTGACCCAGGGACCAAAGAGAACTGCGGATGTCAGGTATTTGCTACCTCCTTAATAAAATGTTACTGATGAAGTGTAATCTCCAAGTTAAAAGTTAAGCAATTTAAAACGTCACACTAAGTGTTCCAAAGCATTCCTCTATGGGGACAGCCCTACAGAGAAACAGCCTCTGGTTTCCTGCCCAAAGTAAATAGTTTGCTGTTAAAATGGTATTTTTCTTTCCCTGAGACCACGAGGATCTTGGAGATCAGTCTGGAGGACTGCCCAGGTTCACCCCCACGTGCAGTTTGGCGGCTCCCCACACCGGCGCCACTTACCCTTGATATGCAGGGCTCCGGAGTTATACTTGGCCTTAATTCCCGAGACTCTCGTGAGGTAAAACTGGAAGGGGTTCCCTTTATCCAGCATGTCCCAAATGTCCTGGCCTTCCCCCGATGTCTCATACTCGTCCTCTTCGAGCACGTGGTGGGCAGGAGGGCCGTGATTTCCAGCTCGTGGGGCAGCATTGTCTTTGGGTGAGGAGACACCTTTCTCCTCTTTGACCACCACTTTCTCGGCTGCCTTCTGCTGCGCCTCTGGGGGCAGCTCATCGTCGCTGCTGGAGAGACACCAACCCAGCTCTTCCTGGGAACCGCTCTTCTGCCTCTTGGCATCTGAAGCCGCATCTGCGTTGCTGAATTTCACGGGTGATATTTTCCTCCTGTGGGCAGCTTTCCGAGCCTCTGAACAGGTGTACCTAGGCTCATAGGCTGCTCGCTGCCCAGCGCAGGGGAGGAGAGAGGTAGACGGATTGTCTGGTTTGGGCTTTTCCTCCTCACTTTCGTCACTGCTTGATATTGTCCATTTCCCATAATTACCTTCCTGAGACATTACACCTCTGGAAGTGAAAGACAGAAATATTGTTACTTCCCATTCACTAGGCCATTGGTAAACTAACTCCACTGCCCTCAGATTCGCTGTCGTGTGAGCGTCTACAATATACACAGCACACCTGACACCTACCAGACGCTGAGCTGCGTAACCAACATCAGCCGCTTTGCAGGTGCTTAGGGGCACATTACCAAACGCTGCTACGGAATCTGGCAAAAAAGTGACAGCAAAAATCCCGGTCACCTTCTCTGCCCCTCCCTTCATTTTTCAACCTAGATCTTGTTCTTAGATGCCCCAGGAATAAGGGTTGAGCCAAAGTCCAAAACAAAACAAAGATGTTCATTCTTGACCCTGAAGCTTCCAACTGCTGGGTTGGGGTTCAGGCCAATTTAAGAAATTTCAACAGTAATTGTGAGGATGCTCACATTTTTATAGTCAAATTGGAATTTACGTAGCTGTCCCTCACTGAAGCATGGGGCCCGAAGGAATTCAGTGATTATTTCTTACTTTCCCAAGATGAGCTACTTACTTACTGTAAATCTTAAAATTCTCAACAGTGTCACATGATCAACTCTGTATATACATTACCTAGAAGTATATACTTCCACGAGGACCCAACTAATGTAATAGCTTACCGTCCCGGTCCTAAATCAAAATGCTAAGTCCCACAAAGAACTTGTACTGGAGCAAAACATTTTTATTTTGTAAACCACACAGTCGAATTTCTATTTTCTTTATCTCACAAGCAGAAAATACATGCCAAGGAGGGTGAAATCTAAAGAAACTCTCCCACCAACTGCCAGCTTGAAGTTTTAGAGCTTTTATTAAGGACTTGAAAAATTTGTGGATGCAAATGAGTACTTCTCTTAAAGCTGCTAGCTCTCTCTCTCCCCCCACCATACTACACCCAGATGCTGCTGCTTACAGAGTCTGCAGAACATCAGGAGGACACAGGAGTAAGGCTCCTCAATTGAGACCCTATGTGGCCTTTTAGTGGGCAAACACGGGCCCTGATTTCAGATCCAGTCATTACTAGGGGGCAGGCACCATACCTACCTCCCTGAGTTCATTCATCCAACATACTTATTGAGCAGCTACTATGTGCCAAACACTGGGAATAAAGAGTTAACCACATACAAACGGTTTCTGCCTTAGAAGAGCTCATATATCTTACGGGGAAAGAAAAAGCCCAACACAAAAACAAACTAACAAAAAACTAAGATATCTTTACAGACATTCCTTACATTTTACAGGTGTGAGACAGAATCAGGGATGCCCTTACTCTGGAACCCTCTGAATAAGTAATATTTAAGTGGGGTCTGGAGGGCGAAAGGAACCAGCAGCGGTGGGGTGAAGCAGCATTCCAAGGAGAGGGTACCCAGCCTGCAAAGGCCACGAGGTGGGAACCAGGCTGTAAAAACTGCAGGAGCAGAGGGAAGGACTTGGTCAAGTAACACAGTGGTCCAGGATGAAGAGGGTGGGGAGGAGGAGCAAGGCCTGTTAAAGATACTGGGTTTTATTTTAAGAACCGCGGGGCTCCACCAAAGGGCTTTAATAAGCAGGGGAGTACCTTGGTCCTACTTACCCCTTTTAAAAATATTGCGTTCCTTACAACTCTGGGTGGAGAATGGTTTGGACGGAGACAGAAGTCGAAGTGAGGAGGCTCCTGCAAAGACTCGGGGAGCTGCCTGACGGAAAGCAGTGGGGATGGAGTGAAGTGAGTGGATTCGGGGTACGTTTAGGGCAGTAATGACAGCTCCTAACTTTTCTGTGCGCTTCCTTTGCGCCAGGCACCAATCGAAGCGCTTCACCAGGGATTAACTCATTTCGCTTTCACAAGAAATCTACACCAAGTACCACGACTGTTCCCAGGGAAACCGAGCACAGAAAGGTTAAGTGTCCGGCATGGGGTAAACGCTCACCACGAGCTCGCTATCACCCCTAACAGCCGAGACCACCCACCTAACTACGGGGAGAAGCCGCAATAAGAACCGGGGGGCAGGGGGAGCCCTCACGTCCCCACTCCCGGAGGACTCTGGTTGCAGAGCGTGCTGCTTGCGCCTAACAGGTTCTGGAGGAAGTCGAGGCCTAGGAGGGGACCCTACCTAGTGTCTACGAGACGCTCCGCTTCCAGCCCCGCCGGGACCTCAGGACTTCGCGGGATCCGCGCGGCCCGCGCACCGCCACGAGGCCGGAAGAAGCACGAGCGCAGGCCCAGTTCCCGCAGCCGCCGGAGGCTTCGGAGCCCGCAACCACTCGGGATCCCGCCCCTCCACGGTCCCGGCGCCTGCGCGCAGTTCAAACTCTCCCGGCCCCGGCGCGCACTTCGCGAAGGTGCTTCAGCCCCTTCGTCTTCCCCTTCCGGGACGTCCGCCGCTGGGTCCCAAAGACCGCCATATCCAAGGGGTTGCCAGGAGCTCTCCCAGCAGGTGGCGAAGGGGTGACTCGGTGTCTGGGTCTCGGCTCACCTCCTGGCCACTTCTCTCAAAAAAGAACACAACACAAAACAAACAAACAAACAAACAAACAAACAAACAAAAAACCGGAAAGAGGAAAATAACTGTTACCTCCCTCTCTCTTAGTTAATTAGCAAAACATCCCATTTACTGCGATTCTCGCGGACAGCTTCAGGCTCTCGGGGCTCGAGGCTGGGTGTGGGGTGGGGGCGGTGGTTCTGGAGGCCGAGAGAGGACCAGCTGAGCTTCGAGGTGGCTAAGGGCTGAGACCCGTGTCCCAGGAGAAGCGGGCTCGCCTGGGGCGCACGATGTTAAATCTGCTGTAAAATACAAGGTTAAATGAGCGCCCCTCGGAATCGACCTCGAATGCCCGTTTCTTATTTGAAACCGATGTGTATGTCTCTGAGCGTGCGTGTGCTTTTTAATCTTACTGATTTGCCTGAAAAAATAGCGGTCTAAGACAAACTCCTTTGCAAAACGGAGCCTTCTCCATACTCCTTACCATTAATGAGGATGTCTGCGATGGAATTTGGGCTCAGTGCTGTTTATACTACTTATTCTCGGAGTTTCTTTCATACCAAGCTCCTCTCCCGGAGGATTGAAAAAGTAACTTGTGTAAATGTCCTCAGGGTTCAGCTGGTTCGTCTGCTTTGTGGCAGGCATCGTGCTACGTGCTGGGGATACAGGGAGGACAAAACTGACCTCGTGGGGCTGGAACCCAATGATTTGATGATCTGCACGCGAATGCTGGACTTGGCTCGTTTTATTCGATTCCTCCTATGCTTTGTCCACACTCTTTGCGTCTCCTATAATAGCACACTGTGGTAGATCGCAATTATCAAAAGTAATTTATTGCGAAGTGCGGGGGCACAGAAACAGTCATTGAAGCAGCAACCGGGCGAGCTGGCTCTCCAGCTGCGCGCAAGGAGTTAAGGGGACCAGACCCCGCGTAGTCCAGCGCTGGGGGTGGACCGCAGAGCCTCTCCGCCATTGGCTGTTCCGGGGAAACCTCCGCAAACAAAGCCTCTGACCAATAAAACTGCGGTACCAACCCCAGTGGCTTGCGTGCTGTCCAATGGGAGAAGACCTTGGAGGTGCCCGGCCGCGTTCAGTTGCGGGAGCGGGAGTGAGTGTGGTGGGTGGTCTGCTGTTTGTCGCTCTCTAGCTGCGGAGATCGCCGGTTTGTCTCGATTTGGTTGTGGCGGTCGAGATGTTCTTCTCCCAGGTCGCCGCCAGGCCAAAGACGTGGGAAGCCAGCCCCTCAGAACACAAGAGATGGGTGGAAGTAGGTGTCTCAGATTTTAACTTGACTCGGGGCTCTCACTTAGGTCCCCCTTCCTGCGTCTTATGTAGTGTCCTTGCGGTGATAAAGAGTGGTCAGTCAATCCAGAGTCAGTTAATGCCTGAGCCTCGGGTTGCTGGGTTCTGGCTCCCCGTCCTGTGTTCTGGCTACTTCTAAGTCCCTTCTGTTCTCCTCTACATAGTCTAGTAATAACCTGCATCTCTCTTCCCGCCTTTCAGAGCAAGCAAGGCCCTTTGCCTCAGTTTCCTAATTCTCGGACCGAATTTTGGGCAGAAATTATCACAAAAGTTTAAAGGAACTAACAGTGAGATAATGCTCCAGTTCCAAGCCTACTGCTGGGCCGAGTTTTAGGTTTTAGGTTTTGGAGGTTCAAATTTAAACTAGTAAGAAACATAATAGAACAATCGAAATGTTTCTGTCTTAACTGAAGATATTTAATGTTCCTTAGGTATTCAAAGTGTGTGACGAAGATAACAAAGGCTACCTAAGCAGAGAGGACTTTAAAGTTGCTGTTGTAATGCTGTTTGGGTACAAGCCTTCCAAGGTACAGCTTTGTCTCTATGTCTGGGGATGGGGCAGACAGCATGAAGCTCTAATGGTGAACGGATCCTAATGGTAGAGCGCAGAGGGCTAGCTTAAGATACTTATAAGGTTAATCGCTGCCTTATAAGCAGTTTCAGAGATGTGCCCAGTGCTGAATGTCACTCATTTTTTCCTCTAGAACCCAACTTAGGGATGAATTAAGAAAGCCATCTCACTAGAGCCCATGAAATATGAGATGATAGGTAGGTGTGAAGAGGGAAGGCTGGGACGGCAGTGTTGGTAATAGGAGGAATTCACAGAGGAAGTGACATGCAGGGGGTTTTTATTATTTAAAATTTTTCTTTGTTTAAATTATAGAGGTGATACATTAACATGCTAAAAAATTCAAACTGCAGAAAAGTATAAAGTTGAATGTAAACTCCCTCTCCCCCCCACCCCACTACAGGATCCCACTTAGGGGTTACCATTATGAAGTTTCTTGTGTATCATTCTAAAATTTCCTTTGCAAGACAAACATGTACACGAAAACATCACTGTCTTTTCTGACTTAAGAGTAATTGAACATGAAAGCACCCACAACCACCACATTAAAAATATAGTTGCATAGTATTCTTATTACCCAGTTTCCTGCTTTTGGTCATTTAGATTTATTCCTTTATGTTTTGCTCCTACAAACATTGCTGCTGTGGGCAGCCGTTTATATCTGTATCTGTGCTTGTGGGTGTACATCTGTGGAATAAATTCTTAGAAGTACAAGTCCTGGACATTGGTCTCCAGGAAAAGGTTGCGTGAATTCACTAATAATGAGAGTTGAACTGAATTTCGATGAGTCTCCTACTGTAGTAGGGCCAGTTTCCTGTCCCCCCCCCCCATCTTTGTGCTGTTACATCACATTCTAGAAATGGGTCCCTTTTGTTAAGCTGCTGCACTGGAATTAATCCGAGGCAAGATCTTGTGCAGGTTTAAGAAATCCAAATGCAGCCATCAAGCAGAGGGAGCACTTGGGACTCTGCCTGCCGTCCTTCCCTCGTGCCCTTGTTAGACCAAACAGCTTGGCAATCACTTTGACCCATTGTTGCTCATGAGGGGGCTCTGCCTGACAGATTGCAAGCCCAGCAAAGCCAGGGACCACATGATGCCCCACTTCTCCATCCTTCATTATGCTTAAATACATCACAACTTCACGGTAAATATGGTCTATGACCATATGAATACCCCAGATGGGTTCAGAGTGGTTCAAGTACTAGGCCATGTCCGTTACGGAGTGGCTGATTACAAAGCTCAGAGGAGAAGCCAGGGCTGGCTCCCAGAAATTGCAGCTCTTCTGTTAACCTGCAATCACTTCAGCTGGAATTGTACAGCAGGTCAGCCAAGCAGACTCAGCCTTTGAAGCATTGTATTTAACCTGCGTTCAGCGGGAAAGATACCTGGTCTCCTGCCTTTATCACCCTTGAGTCTACTTGGTTGGTTTTAATTTCAGCATGTAAGTGAGGAACTCAGTGACAGGTACGGTGGTGTGGTAACTTATGTATGTACACTCCAAGGTTTTAGCTTTTATTTTCATACCTGGTTGAAGTTTCGGATTGTTATTTTTTAATCTAATGAAGTGTTTTATTGACTGCAAATCACTAAACAGTAAAGAATTGGTATGGCAAATCACCTATACACTTATCAATCATTTGTACAATAAAGTTTTATTAAATAAATAGCACTTAATGCATACCCTGCATGAAATTTAACAGATTTATTTTTTTAACTTTTTTACTGGGTTGAGGTTTGGGTTTTTTTTTTTTTTTTTAGTATTGCATTTGAGTAAATGAAATATTTACTGAATGCAGGTCATGAAGCAGTTAAAGCACTTGTGTAATAAATCACATGTGCTTATGCAGTTGTTTACACAGTGGAATTATTGTGTTCCTATTTACTGAAAAGGTATTTGCTATCTGCTAGAGATAGAAAGACGGATAAAGCACCAACCCTACTTTGAAGTTGTTTACAGTTTAGTGTAGAGAGACTTACTAAGAAAAGAACAAAAAGCGAAGGGGACAAGGAGGAGGGTCCGACTCCAGTGACAGTCAGAGTCTAGTGACAACTGTAGTGGGAGTCCAAGTGTCATTTAGACTAGAGGAGCTAGGTGGACCTCTGATGGGGAGTGTCTGGGAGCACTTTGTGGTGGTGGGAGAAGTTATGCCCTTATGACTGATTGGATGTGGTCGTGGTAAGAGGATGGCGGTGAGAGAGTGGTGGTGTGACACCAGGACTGAAGCAACTGTGATGCCACTAAGTAAGAAAACTTGGGGACAGGTTTCAGTGGAAAGTCAGTGAGTTCTGATGGGGGTACGTTCAGTCTGAGGGGGCCGTGAGCGTGCCAAGTGCCTTCGCTCATTGAATACCACGCTGGTGCTGGGGTGTTTGATCTGCTGTCAGACTGTGCTTCCTCTCTCTAATACGGGAATCTGAAACTGGGGGGACAGGTGAGGGCTGGAGACAGACTGGGGGCTCTTCAGCTCCCAGGTGGTAGCTCAGCACAGGAGACTGGGTGGCATTGCCCAAGGAGAGTATGCGGGGAGGGATGGGCAGTGGTCTGAGAGTAGAAGACTGGGGAGCACCATTTCAGAGGGGAGGCAGGGGACGTCCTGAAGATTTCTTGATGTGGTAGGAACCCTCCAGGGAGCAGGAGGAACCAGGAAAGGGCTGGGCATGGAACCCAAGGTAGAGAAACTTAAGTCGGGTACTGACAAGGTTCTAATTCCATGGTGTTTACACTGTGTTACAACATTTAGTGAAGGCAGGCCCCAAACTTTATAGGCAGTGTGTGAACAAATACGTTTAAAATGCACAGACAAAAAAGTTAGGCCAAAATGTTAATGGCTTTCATTGGATGGCTGATTTTAAAAGTTGTCTTCATAAGTTTTTATATTTTTCAAGTTTGCAGCATCATGTTTCTTTTACAATGGGGGGGGCGGATAAAATAAAACCATCTGGCCCATTGCAACAATTTATGTATTTGTCTAAAACGGAAAGGTCACCTTTTAGGCCATGCTGCATGTGGGACAGCCAAGTTGATTTTACGTGCTTACACTGTTTTGGTCAATGGAGTAGAGTTTTGGGGTCACTAGAGCCTGTAGCAGATTAGCATCTGGTAACTTCCAGAGGTCAATGAAAGCGTGAAATGACCGTCATAGCTGTCCTGTGACATCGCGTGCCTGCAGGGCCTGACAAAGTTGGCTTCTCTTAAAATACAGTCTCTCCCTCAGGAATTCAGGACTTGCACTGTGAAAAAAATTGGACGAAATTTTATGCCCTATTCTTTCTTCTTTTCTAGATAGAAGCCAATGCTGTGATGTCTCCAGTAAATCCAAACACTTCCGGTAACTAATAAAATTAACATTTACTTTTTTGTATCCGTATTTAGACATTCATGAAAGTAAAACTAAGAGTAAATATAGAGACTATAAAGCATTGTGTTCTGTTTTCAATGCTTTGTTCTGTTTCAAAGAAAGAAGCTTTGGTTCTTTTAATTTTGATGAACTCATGTGTTCATAAGTATATGTTTATTGTAGGAATATGTTAAACCTCTGAAAAGCATGAAGAAAAAATCTTGCTTATAATTTCAACATCCAGTGGCTGATTTGGGTTTCCTGACACGAGCAGGTCAAGTGGCAGTTACGGAGATGGGGAGACTGGGGAGAAGATTGGGGGTTTGGGGAGACCAAGAGTTGAGTTTTGAGAAGATTCAAGTGGGGAGGTCAGGGCACTTGGTCCGTGTGAGCATGGAGTTCAGAGCAAAGCTGTGGGCCGAGGAGACAAATCTGGGGGTCTTCAGCGGGGACATGGTTTTTGAAGCCGTGGGGATGGGTGAGACCTCCTCGAGAGACAGAGGGACTGAGAACCTCAGGAACTGTAACCGCTAGAAGTCAGGTCGAGGATGAGGACATGGAAAAGGAGAGTCCGCAGGGGCAGAGGGGCAGGACTGGAAAATCAAGGGTGTTGGATCCAAAGGCTGTAGAAGTGGGTGTGGTCCCTGCTGTCAAATGCAGTGGAAGAGCCAGTAGCGCAAGAACCGAAGAGGATCCATCGGTATTGGCAGCCTGGGGGGTGTCTGGGGGCTTGAGCAAGACCAGTGTCTGTGTGGGGTGATGGCAGGGGCCCGGCCAGAGAGGGTTCAAGGTAGACGGAGAGTGAGAAAGTGTGGCACGTCTTTCACGAGGACCTTAGTGGCTGTGGATCAAGAGCAATATTTGCATTTGTTTGTTTGTTTATTTGTTTGTTTCATAAAGAAGGTGTTTCTAAGCTTAGCAGAATGACTCAGAGAAGAGGGGAAAGGGGGATGAGAGCGAGAAAGACGAGTGCCTGTTGTTTGGAGAGCAGGGTCCAGAGCATGCTGGGTTGGCTTTTTAAACATTTTAAAGAAATAATTTAAAATAGTACAGAGATGGCTGTGTACCTTTTGCCCAGACTCACTTATTGTTAACATTTCACCCCATTTGTCTTCTCATTTGCACTTCCTGTCACCCTACCCTCCCTTGCCGCACTGTACACAAGCACACCACAACTTCATGCATTTGTATTGATGCTATATTTTAAGTATATTTTAGTGATTATGCTATTACAGTTGTCCCAATTTTCCCCCTTTGTCCCCCTCCACCCAGTACCCCTGTTCCTTCCAGCGATTCCTCGCCCTGCCTTAGTTCATGTCTGTGGGTCGTGCATATGAGTTCTTTGGCTTCTCTATTTTTTATACCATTCTTAGCAACCCCCCATCTATTCTGTATCTACCAATTATGCTTCTTAATCCCTGTACCTTTTCCTCCGTTTCTCCCTTTCCCCTCCCAGCTGATAACCCTCCAAAAGATCTCTGTATTTGATTCTGTTCCTGTTCTGGTTGTTTGCTTAGTTTGTTTTTGGTTTTTAGATCCAGTTCTTGATAGTTAATGAGTTTGTTGCCATTTTATTATTCATAGTTTTAATTTTCTTTTTCTTAGATAAGTCCCTTTAATGTTTCATATACTAATATTTTTGTGATGATGAAATTCTTTAGCTTTACCTTGTCTGGGAATTTTTATCTGCCCTTTGATTCTAAGTGATAGCTTTGCTGGGTAGAGCAGTCTTGGCTGTAGGTCCCTGCTTTTCATGACTTTGAATATTTCTTGCCAATCCTTTCTAGCCTGCAAAGTTTCTTTTGAGAAATAGCTGACAGTCTTATGGGAACTCCCCTGTAGGTAACGAACTACTTTCCCCTTGCTGCTTTTAAGATTCTTTATTTTAACCCTTGGCATATTAGTTATGATGTGTCTTGGAGTGGGCCTCTTTGCATCCATCTTTATTTGGGACTCTCTGTGCTTCCTGGACTTACATGTCTATTTCCTTCACCAAATTAGGGAAGTTTTCTTTCATTATTTTTTTTCAAATAGATTTTCAGTTCCTTGCTCTTTCTGTGCTCCTTCTGGCACCCCTATGATGTGAATGTTGGAATGCTTGAAGTTGTCCCAGAGGCTCCTTACACTGTCCTCGTTTTTTTGGAGTCTTCTTTCTTCATGTTGTTCTGGTTGGTCGTTTTTTGCTTCCTTATGTTCCAAATTACTGATTTGATTCTTGGCTTCATCAAGTCTACTGTTCTTTCCTTGTAAATTGTTCTTCATTACAATTGGTGTATCCTTTTTTTCCTGACTGGATCTTTTTAGTGCAGTTGAGGTCCTCACAAAGTTCCTTGAGCATCCTTATAACCAGTGTTTTGAACTCTGCATCTGATAGATTGCTTATCTCCATTTCTTTTAGCTCTTTTTCTGGAGTTTTGATCCGTTCTTTCATTTGGGCCATGTTTCTTAGTCTCCTTGTTTGGGCAGATTCCCTGTGTTTGTTTCTATGTATTAGGTAGAGCTGCTATGACTCCCTGTCTTGGTAGTGTGTCCTGATGTAGTAGGTGTCCTGTAAGGTCCAGTGGCACAGCTTCCCCTATCACCTAAATGGTACTTGAGGTGTGTCCTTTGTCTGGGCTGAGTACATCCTCCTCTTGTAGTTGAGCCTTGATTGCTCTTGGAAGGTCAATGGGAGGGATTTACCCAGCCCATTCAGCTGCAAGGACTGGCTGTGACCACTGACCACCAATCTCCACCCTTGGTGGAGGGTCAGCTGTGCAGGGGCAGTGTGGTGGTGCTCCAGTGTAGTCTGTAGCTGTCCACTGGGTGTGCAGGCCCTGGGGTTTCCCAGGTGGCACAGGCCAAGGTCAGCTCCCACCTGTGTTCTGCCTGGGACCACCTTGCCTGAGCTATAAAGCTGCTGTTTGTGCTGGGCTTGGAGGTTCCCAGGTAAAGCCAAGCTGTGAACTTTGCTGGCTGCTACCAGTGCCAGACCTGTGGCCATTTAGCAAGAGGTAAGGGGGCTGGGGGCTCACTGAGGTGGGCTGTTGTTTGTTTGAGAGGATTTAGGAAGTTGTGAAGCATGAGTGAAGACCAGCCATTCATATGGAAAAGCTACTTGAAACAAGTGTCAGCCAGGTTGATGAGTCTCAGATAAGGCACCCACATTCTGGCTCTGGGGCTCTGTGGGGGAAGGGCTCAGAGAAAGGACAGTGGCCTCTGCCTGCCTTTCTCTCTGGGAGAAAGCTGTCCCCCAGCTCTCACCTTCATGCCAGACAACTTCAGTCCCTCCCTGTACGTGCCCACTGGTGCCTTTCAGGCTGCTACCCGGGTGCTGGAGCTCAGAGGGGGTGAATCTGATGAAGTCCATGTGTGGGTTCTTTAAGAGGAACTGCTTGGGGCTCCAGGAATTTCTTCCACTGACTCAGTCCCCACTAGTTTCTGCAGCCAGAAGTTATGGGGACTTATCTTCTTGTCTGTGGAACCCTGGGCTGGGGAAGGCATGGGTGTTGCCTGGTGTGGGGTTGGGACTCCTTGCTCCCGAGATATCCCTCCTGAATTTTTACCCACCACACGTGGGTGTGGGACCAGCCCGTTCCATGTCTCTGTCCCTCCTACCAGTCTGGATGGATGCGGATTCTTTAATTCTGTCATTGTTGGTCTTCCATTCAGCTCGATTTCTGACAGTACTGAGTGATGTTTGTTCTGTAGTTCATTGTAATTTCGATGTGGTTGTGCAGGAGGCAAGCTTTATTTACCTGTGCCTCCATCTTCATCTGAACATGAATTTTAAGATATATTTCAAAAGGTTGTAGGGTATAGTAGTCATCTGAGAAACTCGGGGAAGATTGGGTTTGAGAGATGAAATCACAATGTAGGCGCTTACTACCTTCCTTGAAATGACTGTGAAAGGGATCTCCTTTGTAGAAGCTTCCAGTCTTCTCCCTTCCTCTTGGGGTCTTGCTGTCAATGTCAAATTGACTTTCTCAAAGCACCACTTCGCATTTTAAAGGGAGAGATGTACAGCCCGGGTACTAACTCTCTCACTAGCTTCAATATGTGTTCGCTTGCAAGGGAAGACCCAAGACCACAAACACTCGAGAAGAAGATAGCCATCCCAGCAGGAAGTCCCTGCTGAACTCTGACTACTGCCAACATATTTTTTTTCTTTTAGAACTTTCCAGTACTGAACCGATTTCAGGAGGCCATCAACTCCCTCTTTTCTCCCTCTCAGTGACATAAGTCATATTGAAATCTTTTTTTTTTTTGAGGAAAGAGGGTTTATACACAGATTAAATGTTATCTCAAATATATTATCTCTCTCATTAATGTTTTGATCTTGAAGAAGAGCTGAAATGTTGGCCTCGACTTTCTGGGAGCTGATTATTCATGTGGTCAACTTTCCGGGGTTCTTCTCGGGGGCCGAGACTCAGGAACGCCCCTGCGAGCTGCGGCTCTTCTTCCACCCAGACAAGGCCGGGCCACATCCTCGCATGCCACCCCCCCCTGGGTTCCCTGTGCAGGGCCCAGTTGCTGCCTGGCTTCCTGGGGGAGGTCCACGCTCACATCCTGGAGTGGCCGGGACTTGGCTGAGTCCTGATGGTGCACACATGTCACACAGAACCTAGACCTGGGGGCCCAGATCCTGCTTTCCAAGAGCTTCTGGTCTCTCTGAACGTGGGTCGTTTCTGTAGGGGTTCTCTGTGAAAATCAAGAGTGAAGAGTTAAAGCTGTTGGAAATAAGAGTAGAATGTCTACCTGAAATTCACACTGGAAGAACCTGAGGGCAGCCAGAATGAGGAATGAAAAGGTGCTGAAGACTCTTTTAGTGCTTGTAACAAGCACCAGGAACTAGGAATGACATTAGTGGGAGAAAAAAAAAATCACGCCACTTGTTGCAAGAAGCAGCAGACCGCTGTTGGGGTTGGTTCCGGTGTCCACCGCTGCCGACTCTTCCACGGGGCTTTGTCTCGTCACGCCCCTCACTCGCTGTGACGCAGTTCACACCTCCT